TCAATTTACAGCCGGCTTTTAAATTCGATCTCGGTAACGAAATAAGTAAAGGTTGACAAATTAACTGAAATTAAGGTGCCACCGGTCTATTTAGTGCAAGGAGCGTGGTGCGGATCTTATCAGACCTAATTTTATGGATCAATGATCACGCTTCTATTAAATCTATCTATTGTACTGCCCAGAGTACCCAGAATCACGTCCTACCAAAATATAGACAATACGGACTATCAGCGCTGATCAAACTTACAAAACAAAATCCCACGTCTTGCTGGCGGAGACTAATGATCATTCAACGGAATTCTCAATCTGGCAGATTTCGAAACTCTTTGACACATGTTGTACAACTACCCAAGTAACACAAATCACCACAAAGCCAAAGGTGAGAAACAATAATGTACGATGGTGCGACTGCTACCATCAACACGTAGGCCGACAGCCAAGAAGAAAATATGAATAAACAAGATTATAAAGTAGTTGAACCGGTCTACAACACGAATACTTATATGCCGATCAACGCTCAGAGGGCCGCACACAGGGCTTTCCAAATTAATCAGTATATTATGTTTGTCAATGGAAATTCACAGACGATAGAAAATTTTTTATTGACGCAAATGTTAAATCAACCAAACGTTGCGATAAAGAACTTTTCGCCCATAACCGACTGCGGTATCGACAATATTTACGCATATTAGTGTATATAATCGCGAAAGAAACGTTTTGTAAGGGATAGTGATTGCTTTGAAACGTTTAGAGTTTGTCTCGAGGTTGCCACATGAAAGTTGAACATCATGGAGATGGTGTTAGACGTCATAGGCATTACGCACAAACATTAAAAAACAAGCAAAGCTGCCCTTGTGATTGAGTACATTCAAGAAACAATGCTGAGCACAAAACAATAACGAACTAAAGTTTTAAAGTTTCAACTAAAAGAGAAATGATACGCTGTCACATTCCGCCCGGTCCTAGCTAATAATCGAGATTCGAGACGTAGCAGTAAGCTGTTCTTGGACAAAGTATTTCCTCTAAATCTAATAGTAAATACAGGATCATTCAACTGCGTGTTGACTAAGCATATGTTTTTCTAGAAAGCATGGGTAATGCAATGGGCACCTTTATCTTTCGTCGACAAATAGTTTAAATAACAGCTGGGATAGTAAGCCATATCATTAAAGTTCTCAAGATAGAACGCACATTTGGATTGGGGTGCCCTACATAAACTAAATAATATCTGGAAATCCAAACTTTCAAAGAACCTTAAGATCCGATTGTTCATTGCGGCTTGCGAATCAGTACTGCTCTACGAATCAGAAACCTGGAAACTGGCAAAAGCTAAAGAGAAACGTTTGGCCGGGACATTGCATCAGACATCCAGAGCTACTGGCCAGTGATTTAGTCGTATGGGAACTTGCATGGTAGAGCAGAGCAAGGCCGACCGAGAATAAGCTATATGTCTATTGTCTATGTTACTGAATAAAGTTGGTACAAACTCTAAAGAGGACCTGCGAACCCTGATATGGGACAGGGATATATGGCTCGGGTGTTATCTGGCGTAGATCGGACTTAGTTCAAACCTATACTAAGCAATACTATTAGTATTTATGGAAATGTTTCGTGTCCATTATATTTCAAAGTCGTGAAAGAAGCTGGCTCAATTGCTGGGTGACAATATTGAGACAAAAACATATTGAGACATTATATTATGTAATTACCCTGTCAGTTATTAATTATAATGTGTAATTATAATGGGTGCATTGACGTACCAGGCGACGATAAAAAATTGTTCCTGAAAACTGATAAAAGCGAGTGTGAAATTTCTATAATACCTCATACTCATGCCATACGCTCCGCCCGCCTGACTTGAAATTATATAATAATTATATAATCACTGATAAACCCATTAAACGCCGTCAACTATAATATAAGAAAAATAACTGTTTCATTCTGGAGTATTCGCGACGTAAAATTCTCCTTTAATTCGAACAAGTGGCACATAGGCAAGGCTTCGACAATTCCTATCACGACTTCAAGTTGCCCAAATGCAAAGTGCAAACAGATAGCGTAAACCCTACTGAAAATGACATAGATAACCAAAAATGGAAACCCCCACTTCTTAAGGCCCTATGTATACATGAGAAAAGAGAAAGCACAGAAAATAAGGACAGATTAATAATGAGCGTCGACGTGTTATGCTGAATATTAAACTTAAGCCGAGAGATAATAACAAATTAATCTCACAAGATTGGTCAGACAAATAGCACTAAAGAAATGTCTCAATCGCTCCCTAACTCAATCACAAGATATTAACAAATAAAAGCCTCTTGTTTGAACCACGCACTTTGCTCAGCTTATATGGGTTACAAAATGAATCAGACAGAATCAAGCGAGGATATTGGCTGCAAAGCCGCTTAGTTGCCGACAAGAAAGAGGAGCAGTTATAAACTTATAATGAGAATTGAACAAATTCGTTATCTTATAATAGAGATATTAAAGTCACTATTGTGACGGTACATTAGAACTAGACAGAAACAAAGTGTGAAGGGCCTGAACGGAACCCCTCGGATTCAGTTCCTTGTTTAATAGCCTAGCTCTCATGAGAATTCGAAAACAGGACCAGAGTCAAGATCAACCGATCCCAAAGTGATCGCTAACCATGAATAACTCAACCACGAATTGTCGACCGGTGGCACTTCCACTAATTACCACTAATTACCACTAATTACGAGAGACTCAGGAGTCCTCACCTTTATACAAGTCAAGGCCTGTATAACTGTGATCCACTACAAACAGGATGATTGTCATTAAACTAGACAGTCCACACTGTTATAAGTAGGGTAATGACCCTGTGCCGGTTTGAAGTTTTGGTGAAAGTCGCAAATCTGACAATTTCTACAGAGGCATTCAGATAGAAAATGACGCTGTAACCTCATAGTTCCAGACTAACGAACCTAATGGCTGGTGGACTGAGTACCTAATGAATATACTTAAGCAGTCATTATTAGAGAGTCCAGTAAGGTTACTGCTAACTGCATCATTAAACCAATCAAAATATCCTATTTTAAATGACTTTCGTGATAAATAAACCCAATACATGATTACTTATCCATATCTACCCTCTGTACGAAGTAGATATCGTCAGCTAGCCTCAACGGTCAATAAATTAAATATGGTGAGGCTATGAGTTGTACTTGTTCAATGTCCATAGACGTCCAGACCCTTCCCCTCTCTCTCTCTATCTCTCTCTCTCTCTCTCTCTCTCTCTCTGTCTCTCTCTCTCTGACGTTGACTATAATTGAGAAGTGGAATAATAGTGGACATTGTTTGAATCCCAGGTTGAAACATTTGGTGGATATTGGTCATTCAGAGACATTCCACTAATTTGATTGCTGGGGTCCTGGTGTCTAGAACAATTACCAACATCTGTTTACAACCAGCAGAGCATTAGTTACTCATGCATGTTAAATTTGGGCCAACATTTTATTGGGTCGTAATTTTAATTAACCACCGGTTATGGGGGCTGCGCTGGGGCCTATATAATTAGATATTACCACCTGTACTAATTTATCCCTTATTTAAAGTTCTAACCCGACCTGCTTATCTTTATCATATCCGTGAAAGTTTAATGATAATGTAACTAATTAATAGAACATAAATAATAACAATAGCCCAATAACAGTGTTTGAAATATATATATTTGTGTGTAGTCGTTTTACATTTGGTTGCATATAGCGAGCTCTGTTATCAGCTGTTGTAACTTGCGATAAGAAGTGCTTGTCTTTTAGTGTGATCGTTGTGTAGCCTGTATACAAGAACTGTACATTGGAATATCACGATGCAGTACTCATACCATGAACATACGAAGCATTTGGTCGATGACCCCGATAATGATGATCTGTTTAGTGCCAGACATGCAGATCAGGTAGCGAGAGCTACAAACAGTGTTTTTAATGAAATGTGCCATGAACTGGATGTTAAGGAATACGGAGATCTAGTATTGAAAAACCTGAACAAGCGATCAGTTTCGAAAGAAAAACTGTGTGATTGGCTGCAAACTGTTTGTTTCATTTTGAATCGTTATGCGGCTCCTCATTTGCAAATGGCTGCGGAGAGAGTAGATAAACAGAACATTTCAGTAATCGCGGAGCAGAAAACTGTCATTGATTTGCAGAAGCAGCTCATTGAAAAGAAGGACGAAGAACTCAAGTCTGTTCAAACAACTGTGCAGACAGAAATGAAATCATATTCTTCTGCCCTGAAAAAGACTTGTGCAGCTGCTCTTACGCCAAAGAAGATCTGTACTGCAGTTAAGACAATAGCTGAAAAGGATGAAAGAAGCAGAAACGTCGTAATCTACGGAATAAGTGAATCCGACGGCGAGAAGTTAGAAAACAAAGTTGCTGAAGTTCTTGGTGAGATAAACGAGAAACCTTCTTTTCGTGACTGTTGTAGAGTTGGTCTGAAGAGAGTGGGCACATTAATACGACCAACTAAACTATCTCTAAATAGCTCTGACATGGTTACTCAGGTGCTGCGAAAAGCGAAACTACTACGCACAAAAGAGGGCTATAAAAGTATCTACATTTGCCCAGACAGATCAGTGGAAGAAAGGAGAGCTTACAAGAAGCTCTGGGAGGAATTGAAAGAGAAGAGGAAAGCAGAGCCTAACAGAGTTCATTTCATAAGGAACAATAAGATTGTCAGCTCTGATAAGAACAGTGTATCAGCCTCGTCTGAAGAAATTTGAACTGTTTCACATTCTTCACCACACATTTATTTTATCACAATTTTGTTTCACATTTTAAAAAATCATATCGGGGCCATGTAATTGCGGGCACGTTTTACTGTGCAGTACCGTGTTTGGTCTCCCGACAGATTTTACAGACGGGGGCAATATTTTATTCGAGTTTATTTCATTCGTTGTAATTGCTGTACTCTGTAAAGTTTGAAAAGTATTTAATAAAAAAAAAATAGCCCCCCCCCCCCCCCCATATATAGTAACTCACTAATATCAGGGGTGTTCTGAGAGTTCCAACTCTGGAAAAGTCGCTGAAGAAGTTGTGCGGGATCGTCGGGTTTAACCGTGGGCGCTACTTGACGTCGTTTAAGCGTAACGTTTCCTTTGATGTTGAGTTCTGGACGCTTCAGCAGTGTTTGCACTACCTAAGGAGAGTCTTGGTAATTATAAAAGCAAACAAGTTGTAGTAATCTTAGCGAGAGTCTAGTACGTAGAGCAACAAATTACAAAACATTAATGGGTAGTCTTGATTCTGAAGAAAACCTTTAAAGGTTTCAATAACTGAATAGTAAACCTCTTTGGAAAGAACGATATTCCTCTGGCTATTGTCGGAAGGTGACCTGTTTTCCTTGTTGTCTGAGGGGATTACTTGTACCGCAGTGGGAGAGCCAGTTGTCAGGCTACTCGCTGACATTATCACCTGTATCATCAAAAAGTCAGTATTTAAAACTTGAATTTAATATTTAAACAGTACTGAATAAAGCTTAAAGCGGTAGTCATTTAAATTACAAATTTACATCTTATCGTGAACAAAATAATAATTATCAGGAATAATTATAAATCACCTTGGTGACGCTATTTTGTCGGATTATTTTAGCACCGGGTGGCAGAGCGAACATCACCTTACCGTCAGGACCCACTATCTTCTTGAAACCGTGTGGCATCGAGATTACTCGTTTGGAAGGAGAATCTATCGAGCTACCCTAAGGGAAAAATTTGATAAAACATGAACAGTTTAGTAATAACCAAAATTTTTCGGCTCAATTTTATACCCTAACTGTTTTCTTTATTGAGTTATTGGTCTGGAATAATTCTACAGCAAAACAAATGCGTTTTTAGAAGTAGAACAAATACTAAAGAATTCCCCACTAAATCAACAACATGTAGCTAGGTACCTTTGTGCACTGGAGTTTGTTGACAACTCGAGTCAGACGATCGCATTTCTTGGCCTTGTCACGTGATCCAGTATGACCTGACGAACTTTTGCTCTCGTACGTCCAACCAATACCTGAAAGTTTAGACATTTCAAAAACATTAAACCTTGTAATTGGTTCGGTTTAATAAACCAAACAGTTCCAAATATAACCATGTCATGATATTTGTTATTCCTCAAAAGTCAAAACCAAAGAAATCTAACCAACTAAGAAAACCAAAACGTACCGTTATTTTTCCTGTATTCTTCACCATCCATAGAAATCTTTGTAATTTTTCTAGGGCTCTTCCTTTTGTTGGAGGGAGAGGGTTCGATGTCTTCTGGTGTGTCTGCCGGAGGAGGGATTTCTTCTTGCTTTTCTTCCTTTGTTTCTTCCTTTGTTTCTTCCTTTGCTTCTTCTGTCTCCTCTACAGCTGCTTGATCTTCAGTTTCAGCTGCGGGTTTTGAATCCTCAACGTCTTTCATTTCTTCGTCCAAAGGTTTGATTTCTTCGTCGAACCCTTCGTCAGTGGGTTTGTCCTCTTCCGAAGTACTGACAGTTGGGGTATCAGTAGAAACAGGTTCCGTTTCAGTATCCATTTCAGTTTCTTTTTCAGTTTCTTTTTCAGTTTCTTTTTCAGTTTCTTTTTCAGTTTCTTCTTCAGTTTCTTCCTTTGCTGGCTCTTCTAACTTGGTCCAATCTAGGAAGAAATTTTATAAACAATACAAGATCCAAATGGGAGTTTAAAGATGATTATCTAATCACAAAACTAAGATTCCGGACAGTCAACATGATATCTTGTATGTAGAGGAATTCTCATAATATTTAGTAATAGTAACCCACCAGGAGCGAATATAACGGGTCTGATATGCGACTCCAGGAATGCAAGACAGGCAGCGAGATGGTGTGCATTTCCTGCTTTGAGAAGCGCATTCTCCCAGGCACTGCGCCGTTTGGACCACGCGTCGTGCATGAAGTACTTAGGGATGTTACTCGACATGTTGAGAAGCGTGTTTCTCAGTAGTTTAACCTGGTTTAAAGAAGAGTTTTACTTTCATTAGCAAGGTTATCTTGCAGGATTATATATAAAAAATCGTGTGAAATCTGGGTAAAAGCTAGACCAATACGTGATAATAATAATAATAATAAATCGAAGTTTAATAACACCACTTTTAAGATATATGTGCGGATAAAATGATTTGTACCTGGTCTGGAGAAGAAGATTTCCAGGAGAGCTGCTCTCTAACAGTTGAACTGGTCTGTTTGAGCTTGTTGGATAGGGCGGCCGTCAGCTTGTAGCTGTTACACTTACCTTTGTACCTGATCATTGTGTACAGCGTTAAAATAACTTTGTAGTTTACACAAACAAGGCTACAGGATGGAAATTAATCAAAGATAATGACAATGTAACATTTCTTCCCTTGCCAATATTATAAGCACGGGAAGAAGTGTAGTGCTTTTTAAATGTCGAATTTACTAACTTGAGATAGAGCTTGTCCGCTCCGAAAGTGAAGTTGTCGTCGGTAGCTTGTTGGAAGAGTGAGAGGAGTGAGGTGAGGGGCATACTCTCGACATCCTTCCTTAGTACTGTGCTGGTCTGCTGATCTCCGTATGTTATACCTGGGGGCATTTTACATTTGTAAACAGAGATGTAACAGAGATATAACAGAGATATAACAGAGATATAACAGAAATATAACTGAAATATAACTGAAATATAACTGAAATATAACAGAAATATAACTGAAATATAACTGAAATATAAACAAAATATAACATTATATGTGTTGAATGATAACTGTTGAATGATAACTTTACATAATATTAAGTATGGAGTGTATTCAAACAACAACATTTTCACATCCTTCAGCAACGTGATCTAAAGTAGGTCTTATCATAGAGGAGACAAGACACATAGAGGAGACAAGACACATTGCCTTTCCCACTCCCCAGCTATGCCATAAATATCGAACAATTTACGAGCGAAACTACTACGCGAGTTAACAGTAATAATATATATAATATATATAATATAATTATATATATAATAAGTTTAATAATTACCAGAGTATTTTGTGGGTGACTGAAGTGTTCTGGTTTGTGTGGTTTTATAGGAAAACACAATATCAACCAGTGTTTCGTTCATCCTCTCTACGTAGTCGAAATAGTTTTGTTTTATCGCATCGTGCACCTGAGTTAGGAATGTAATGTCAAAACTTGTAGAACCGCATATTTTAGTATACTTTTACATTCCAGAATGTCAGGTCAGTTCTCGACACATCATAATCTGAAAAACCTCAACAAATGAAGAATTTTGTTAAAGAGCCGGTTTGGCGAGACAGTGCTATTGTCCTAAAACAAAATCTAACTCAGACTTCAGTAAACTAACATTGGTATCCTCTGGAGTGCCTGACTGAAGTTTAAGGATAATTTCGTCTAATCTGTCCTTGCTGCTGTAGTACCGCGTACCTTCACTACTGGAGTGAAGGATGAGCCTGCGTAGAACAAACCAGTAAGTAGCTCCTTCAGAGTCTGTGCCAAGTGAACTGGAGTTGTATATCGATGGTGCTTTTTCGTCGAATTCTGAGGATAATTTAGTTTAAAGTTCATTTTAGTATTTAAATATTAAAGAATAGAGTTCAGAGGCGTTATAACAAGATACATACAAATTCTCTAAGTTCAGGCATCCTCCCAAACTCACCATGCACATATCTCGTTAGGTAAAGGAGAATTTCAACTCTCTTCTCGACTGGCAAAGTGTAGTAATCCCCGGTGAATGTAGCTGCACTCCTACTGCGCTGAAGGTATAGTCTCAGTGCACAGGGCCACGTGACTTCATCAAGCTCCTCTAAGCTCAGCAGATCGTAGGTGTTATAAGATGAGGATTGTTCCACGTCCTGAAGATAATCCCTATTATTGTTTGGTAAAAATTTGTTAAATTCTATGAATTCCCGGAGAAAGTCCAAAAACATTTGATTCAGTATTATAGGTGATTTATCAAAAAGCTTAGAATATGAATAAAGGAGATGTATTTAAAAGGATATGTATAAAGCCAAAGGAGATGTATAAAGGATATGTATAAAGGAGATGTATAAAGGAGACAAAGTACAAACCTTAGCAATAAGCTCATCGAGCAGAGCCACATGAACATCACTCACAATACTGCTGTGATCATGATGCGTTACAGCAGCACAAAACTCCTCGAATATAAGATGGGCTAAGTTGAAGTGTTGGACGAGAACCTTATAAACTGAAACAAGAGGCAGGAGCACAGAGTGGGGTACAGCTAGGTCCGCGGAGCTGGGCAGTTGGCCAGGTTGCTCGGTTTCTGAGGAGGCTGTTACTGCGACCGCTGCGAAAATGTCATCTTCCATTCTCTCATCAATCTCCTACGAAGTGGTCTTCTGCTTGCTACCTACATGGCTACAGAATATTAGTGTTAGAGTATACTGACAATACCATATATCATATATGAAGGAAAGAAAATTATAAGTATCTTGTGCCATGCTGGTTGGAAATTTTAACATTTCTTTTGAAAATTTGTAATAAAATGAAAAAGACAGAGGGAAATCATTGGGACGCAAATAAGACACCATAACTGGAGAGTAATGATTTCTCATTTCAAATATTATCAAGAACTAATAATTGAAAATTACATAAACAATTATTGCAGATAAATACTACAATTTAACACTGTCAACACTTCAATGATGTTAAGCGATCCAAGATCAAGATTGAATTATATCTTAATTGGGACAGCTGGAGACAATAAAACTTGTTAAAAATGGTAAAAATTAGTTAAAACCTAGGCTGTCATTAGCCCTGATAGAAACATAAATTATCTAAAAATGGAAATAAAAATTTCGAGAACATAATTAAATCCACTTGAGCCTTCTGATGTTATTATATAAAGGTGAAAACTTCTCAGTTATTTTAATTGATAAGTTAATTTCATATTTTGATTGAATTCAAATAGTGTGCAGTTCTGAAGGTTTTTCATTCAAATACAATATAATAGGTTAAAAAATTGTCCTTTACCTGCCATGCCAAGAATTACTTTATGCAGCTTCATCCTCGTCAGTGACTTTAGGAGCAAGGAAGTAACGGATATTACCGAAGTCGGCAATATCGTACTGGACCACCAGAGGAGAATCGTTCCTAAGAGTGAGTTTCACGAGTGGGCTAAGGGGAGCACCTCTGCAGAAATAGTGGAGATATTTGAATGCGAAAGTCAGGGCTACCGGGTTATCCATCTCGATCTGAACTTTTTCTTCCTCTTTTTCGCTGTTGGTTTCAAGGAGAGTAATAGTTCCAGCTCCAAGGTCTCCGGAAGCGTTGAACGTCACGGAGTTCTTGATAACAGCTATCGTTACAGCATCTCCAAAGGCAGAGAGATCACGGCAGATTCTTTGGAACTCAGCAGAAGGCATGGTAATCATAGCATCGTAGCCATCATCAGTCAAAGCAAGATGTTCAGAATCAATCTGCATAAGCTTGACAGTGAACTCAGATGTTCGTTCCTGGTTTGGGCTTTCGAATGTGAAGGTTACAGAATCACCAGGATCATCTTTGTATTCCATCTTGAGAGAATCGTCGTTATTACAGCACTTCATAACCTTGATCATGGTGGCCAGCTGGATGCCCATGACACAGTTAAGATCACATCTGTACTCTTCAAACCCACTGCTCTGCAGTAACACGCTCACTAAACTTACGTGAGAGTTATCCATGGCTTGCAGAGACATACCCTCGGCGGAGAGATCCCAGTTCGCATTGACAACTAAATCCTTTAGGGCTTCTAGAATCTTCTTCATGAGACCTCCTTGTGGTAAACGTGCTTCGAACATCTTGACGAATTTTTCTAAACAAAAAAAGTGTCAAGATTAGCGTTACTTTTGAAAACTAAATAACTAGTTACTAGGAATCTAATTATTGTATTATTATGCCATAAAATATGCACGTACAATTTATTATTCGTGTGTATTGAGCTATTGCTATGAACAACTATAAATGTGGATAATGAAAAAGTTGAGGATAGAAATCAAATAAATGATGCAACGGTTTTACTTCTAATGTTTAGGTCACGGAGGCACTTCCAGTATTAAAATTAAAATGGCTGGACTTTTCAACCGCAGCATTTGTGCCTGGCCATAAGTGATATCATCGGCAAATCAATTTGGCAGTGGATAGATGGATGAGAAAGATTGTTGAGAACTGACATTCATGATCAGTCAAAGTATTAAATTGTTAGTCGTCGAGAGTTCCGTTTTAGGTAAATTCAAGTTAGCCAGTAATTTAGTAGTTAGAAAGTAATTCGCAATTATACTGATTAAAAATGGGATTTCAACGACTTCTTCGATTCATGTATAACAATATAAAGTAAGCGCCCATGAAAACATATTTCTTCAATTCATGTCAAACAAAGAAAACGGGATGACGAACGTATCGACGGTAGAATTGTAGAATAACGAAAACGGCCATATTGGATTTCGATTTTCTCCCTCCGCGCCGTAAGATGTAAACGCCTGCGGAGTCAGTTCATTGGTTGCGCGCAGCAATCACATTGCACATACAACATAGAACATATATTGTGTTTTGTCTCACGTACGTCAATCAAATTCTTGTAGTAGATGAAGCTGTTATGAGAAAATATTACACTTTTCTGCTCGAGCCCTGGGACTTCTTTTGGGGTTCTTATATGAGTGTACTAAACCAGTGGCGTAACGAAGGGCCCCGCCGACGCGCGCCGAGTTGGACTCGTCGACGGTCTTAATAAATGGAACAAATATTTTACGAGTATCAACCGTTATAATGTTAGGGGGCACCAAATCATCGTTTGAATGTGGGACAATTTCGAAAATTTAACTAAAGTACTAGCAAAACTGCGCGTTTTGCTCTACATACAAACTTTTTTAAAGACTTTACCGGCAACCGGCGTATCTTCTAAAAATAAAATCACCTAATTTGTTCAATTTAAGGGAGGGGCACCAAAAGGGGAGGGGTGCCAACAGGGGGCGCTTTTTCGGCGGGGGCGCCAACAGGCAACGTTACGCCACTGTACTGAACACTCTGACGGTATCGGGAACCTTCTATAAGAGCCTTCAGGACACAGGAAGACTATAGTGCAAAGAAACTGCTGCTAACTGCTGCTCACTGCTGCTCACTGCTGCTCACTGCTGCTAACTGCTGCTAACTGCTGCCAACTGCTGCCAACTGCTGCCAACTGCTGCCACCTGCTGCCACCTGCTGCCAACTGCTGCTCACTGCTGCTATAACTGCTGCTAGTTAGCAGCAGTTTCTTTGCACTATTGTCCTCCTATGAGGGGCTCTTACTAAATCGCTCGCCCAAAAATTTCACGTGACTTTGGTTTTTTTGGTTTTGCAGCCGTACAAAACGGTTTTACATAAACCCTAATCCCAACCCTAACCCTAACCATAACCCCGAAGCTATCCATAATCTTAACCACAACCCTAACCCTAACCCGAGCCCTAATGCCTAAATAATCGAATTCACGTTTTACTAGCCTGTCACGTGACCAAAACGGTTTTTTGCCCATAACTCTCCAGGGAAGCATTTTAACCCTACGTCATGGAGGGTGATTCGGAATCAGCGTCCAAAAATACACCGATCTAGATCACTTTCATGCCTAAAGGGCCTTTTCACAAGAATTTTCTTAAAATTTGGGCGACCGATTTAGTAGGAGCGCCTGTGAGGAGCTGTGTTGTCAGTTGTGAGCACTTGGCTGCCAAAACTTCGGTCATCGAAAAACACCGGAATATAGGTGCAAGGTATGTAACCTACAAATCCGCGCGTCGGGTTCAGAGTTACTGGGCCGCGCTCAGCCTGTCATTCCGCCTAATCTCTATTTACCAACATTAAAGCCTGGGGTCCTCAGGTAAGTTCAGAGTTGGACTTTTAAACGGTTTAATTATTTGAAACATTCTAACCCGACCCTACGTTATGGGGGGGGGGGGGGGGGGGGTTATTCGGAATCAGCGTCCAAAAATACACCGATCTAGATCACTTTCATGCCTAATGGGCCTTTTCACAAGAATTTTCTTAAAATTTGGGCGAACGATTTAGTAGGAGCGTTGCTTCGCAAAGCAACGATCGACGATGCAAAGCAAAAATGCTAGTTTGCGCGGCGAAGTCCTCCAACACCCGTTAAGATATCCACTATAAAACTAATTATAATTCGTAGGTTTACAACCTACTAGGACGCGCGCCGAGTTCCAATATATGGAGCAGATATTTTACAAGTATCACCTGTTAAGTAATAATATACAATAATAGCTAGTAAAAGGGTCGCAATAAGATTTCGACCATTCTGTGAACATTTGTAAATGCTGATTTCCAATTTATTGGTAACTATATATAGTCAAGGTGCACAAATTTGTATTTCAAATTTGTATACCATATACTATCCTAGCTATCTTCACGAATACTTTGAAACCAAAACTGATAATGGAATAGTAAAACAAAATTTTTTAGTAAAACAAAATTTTTATTTACCACAAAACAATCAATACATATTTAATATTATTATACATTTACAAATAAATCTAAATTTAAATTCAGCTATATACACAATACACAGCCCGCCGCGCAGACAGCCACACATTGCTGAGAGATTCTCAGGTGCAGATGTAAGCGCCGCGCGCGCGAGGTTTGTTATCTTGTATCTTACAATTACATGTCACGATATATTATTAATTATCAGAGAATTTTAGAAGCAAAATAATAATTGCATATTGGGAAAATTTCGGTCGTTAACGCAGTATAGGGCGTGGACACTGCAATGCTAATAACGGAAAATTTTGAGGCACGAGTTTCATTCAGCTACCCAATTTATATGTGACATGTACTTGTATTAAATTCAGATAAATGTTAGTAGCAATCGACGCCAACATTGTGCAACTGTAAACTGCAAAATTTTAACGTCGATTATCATTAAATCACATCTCGCAAGTTACTAATTCTTTGCACTATATATGTTACGTTACCTGAGGACCCCAGGCTTTAATGTTGGTAAACAACCGAATAGAGATTAGGCGGAATGACAGGCTGAGCGCGGCCCAGTAACCACTATCTTGTCAGGAATACTTATCATTGTGCCCCTCAGGGTTGCCTTCTCCCCTTAATTATGTTGACTTTGAAATTATCTACATAATATACAAACGATACATGTTATGTAGATTAATGTAGATTATGGTTATTGTTAAATGAACTCCATTCCACAAATTTCCTTAGTTTACATTTTATGTTTAACTTCAAGTTCAAGTAATTCCAAACATAAATTACTGGTAATGTCCAAATTCATCGATGGTAAATACGTCAAAAAATCGCCTGTAAATACGCCGTATTCAAAAATTCTAAGAAATACGTGAAATAGGCAAAATTTGGCGCTTAAATTCTTTGATGGTAAAATTTCTCAAAATACGCGCGTATCTCTTTCGAAATACGTGATTACAGATTAGTGATATTTGCGCGTGCGTCGCTGGCCCAGTGGTATATCAATATAGCAATACTGACAGTCGTTTTGGAGACTTCACGGTGCTCGAATGAAAACGCTGCAGCGACTTGCTATTCTTATGCTGAACTGCAACCAATCAGTCGGTCTGCTGCAGAGCAGAGCTTCTCAGGTTATAAAGCAGTTATGCCTCCCTCGAGGAATAGACTTTCAACCGAGACCCAGTTCCAGTGCATTTTTATCTATTACAATATTCGCAGACTAAGATCACAAGTCTCTCTTGCTTGAATTTTGAAACCGGTTACCGGATTAACACGGACTTCCCAGTGGCATAAGTTTAAAAAGTGACTAGGAATCCAGCCTGGAAAGAAAAAACGGCTATAATAAACTTTTAAAACGGCTATAATAAATTTTTCGGCCGGATGACGATTTCATTTCACCTTGCTAGTTATATTACAGAGGTATTTTTAGTTATTCATTAGTTATTCATAATTGCCAAAAAGTATGGGAAAAAATGATCCTATCCGAGTCTCGAACTCGCAATCTGCTGATATGGAGCTAGCGTATTAACCAATTAGGCCACGATTCCATATACTGTAATGTAATATTCATATATAGATCTTCGCGCGTTACTGCAACTTAATTTGAAATACGTAATTTATCATCGGGAAATACGTATGCGTAGTACCTACGCGTAGTCTCCCCAAAACGCATTTACCATCCTTGGTCCAAAAACCCCGACTCAGTCCGCGGACTACTTATGCCTTGATGGTAAATCATATGAGTGGTATCTTGTATGCAATTATTTACGACTATTATTAATTAACATGCTGATTGATCAGAGTCACATCTGATGACTTCATTGAAAATGAAAGGGCTGATGACTTCAGTGAAAGAGCTGGTGACCTAGCGAAAGTGCTGGGGATGAGAAAGACCATAAACCAGGGATTCCTTCGGGAGCATGTAAGATTGTATCAAAAGTTTGTTCGCCAATGGGGTGTGTCTGGGTGTCAAAGATCTTCAAGGTGGGTGCTACTTGTGATAAACTCTAGAAGGATGGGGTGGTAATACTCGGTCTGGCCGCCTGGAAGCCCATAGAATTCCAGTTCAGAAACCGAGCGAGGAGGTGCGGCTACTGATGAAAGGCCTCCTTCAAGTTCATTTGCAGGTTAGAAACGAAATCTGGGTACCTACCCTCGCACAAGATTATTCTCAATTTGGTGTCGTAGATGTAAATTACTTACGACTATGATTAATTGACATGCTGATTGCTACCATATCCTGTACCTCATACGAACTTGTATTAACGGGTGATACTCGTAAAATATCTGTTCCATATGTCGACGAGTCCAACTCGGCGCGCGTCCTGGTAGGTTGTAAACCTACAAAA